AAATTACTAAACTACCCTTTCATGATTTTCTACACTCCCCCTCAATCTAAGTTACATAGATATTGAGTAATTATAAATTAGATACAAAATTATTAAACGCCCATTTTAATACTACCTTTGTGAGTATGTCTACAGTTTGTTGACTGCTTGGAACATATAGTAGTGTTATGGCCTGGTTTTCAATTTTTTCCATAATGAAGTGCGATCAATCTCAACATGTTTGATTCTATTATGGTACACAAGATTTTTTGTCATGCTAATGGTTGATTAATTATCACACCAGAGTTTTATAGGGGTAGGAACTGAGAATCTTAGTTCAAGTAGTATCTTTTTCAGCCACACTCCTTCATATATCTCATGAGCAAGTAATCGTAATTCAGCTTCAGCACTACTTTTTGATACAACAGATTGTTTCTTACTACGCCAAGTGACTAGATTGCCCCACACATATGTACAATAACCAGATGTGGATCTCCTATCAGTTACTGATCCTGCCCAGTCAGCATCAGTAAAGATTTCAATGTCCCTATTTATTATTTTTTGAAAGAATAATCCCTATTCTGGTGTCATTTTTAGGTATCTCAGAATCCGGTATATCACACTCATGTGTTCTTCAGTAGATTGAGACATAAATTGGCTCATAATACTCACTGCAAAACTGATGTCAGGTCTTGTGTGAGTTAAGTAGATAAGCTTGCCTATAAATCCCTGATACCTTTCTCTATCAACAGATTTACTATCAGTTTTAAGTCCTAGCTTAGCATTTGACTCCATGGGTGTTTCTGTGGGTTTACAACCAAACATACCTGTCTCTTTCAAGAGATTCAGGACATATTTCTGTTGTGATACAGAGATTCTTTTTTTAGACCAAGCTATTTCCATTGCAAGAAAATAATTGAGTATCCCAAGGTCTTTGATTTCAAACTCTTTGGCTAGAAAGCTTTTGATATTTGAATCTCTTCAACATGATCACCAGTCAGGATAATATCATTAACATACACAATCAGAATAGTTCTCTTGCTTGTGACACTGTGTTTGACAAACAATGTGTGATCGGACTGGTACTGTTCATATCTCGTATGTTTCATCGTCCTGGTAAATCTATTAAACTAAGCCTTCGGGAGTGCTTGAGACCATAAAGTGCCTTTTTCAGTTTACACACCTCTTGCAAGTTCATTTTAAGTCCTACTAGAACTTCCATATATACATCTTCTTCTAGATCGCCATTAAGAAAAACATTATTCACATCAAGTTGATAAAGAGGCCAATCAAGATTTGAGACTCTTGAGAATAGTACCCAGATAGTGTTATACCTGACAACTGGGACAAATGTCTCCTGATAATCAATCCCATATGACTGAGTAAAATCTTTAGCAACAAGGCAGGCTTTGTGCTGATTCACACTTCCATCTGGATTATACTTTGGAGTAAAGATCCATTTGCATCCTACTGGAGTTTTTCCTAAAGGCAGTTCAGTTAATTTCGATGTCCCATTCTTCTCAAGTGCTTTGATTTCCTCTTGGATTGCAACTTTCCATTTTAGAAATTTTAGTGCTTCATGAACTGTTTTTAGTTCCATGGTGTTGCTGTCTAATTTACTCACAAGTGCATGATATGTTGAAGACAGTTTACCATATGAGATATAATCTTGTGTGGGATGCATGGTGCAAGAATGAACACTTTTCGTAAAGCAATAGGTAACTCAGTATCAATATCAGTCGATGAGTCAAAGATTTCATTACCTGTTGTATTCTGAGTGCTTGATCCAGGAGTTAATTCATGACAATGCGTAGTTGGTTAAGATACTTTATCATATTGAGTCTTATTTCTCCTAATGTAGACACGTAATTCACTCTTTGCAAGTAATGTACTATCAGTTTCTGTGACAAGTTCAGACTCTTTTGTAATTTCAGGAACCGGCTTAATTGTTGGAGAAAGTATATTTGTCAAAAAGATATATAGAGGAGGTGTGTTCACATCCCACAATTGATATTCTTGAGTGAGATAAAAGGGTTGGTTTTCAAAAAATGTTATATCCATAGTATTGTAAAACTGAGGGGTACCTGAGAAAAAATATTTGTATCTTTTCTGATTTGATGAGTATCCAACAAATACACATTTAAGGGTCCTTGGGTCTAGTTTCCTCCTAAGATGAGCATGAATATGAACATAAGCAGAACAACCAAAGACTTTAAACAGGACTGTGTTTAGAATGTGAGATTTAGGGAAGAGTTAAAGGAGAGTTTCGTATGGTGTTTTAAGTTTGAGTATACGGGAAGGCATCCTGTTGATCAAGTAGGTGGCGGTAAGGATAGCCTCTCCCCAAAAATATTTGAGAACATGTGTAGTAAACATAAGTGCTCGAGCAACTTCAATGATATGTCTAATTTTTTTTTTCGGCTATACCATTTTGCTGTGGGGTGTAAACACATGAATTTTGGTGAATAATGCCTTGATCAGTAAGGTATTTTCCCAGAGTAGATTCAAAATATTCGCATGCATTGTCTGATTTCAACATTTGTATTGTGGTGTGAAATTGGTTTTGAATTATAATGTTGAATTTCCAGAATATTTGGTCCACTTCAGATTTTTCTTTCATAAGGAAAACTCAGTTAATTCTAGTGTGATCATCAATAAAAGATACAAACCATTTTGTACCAGTAATGTGATTTACCCGTGATGGTCCCCATACATCACTATGGATTAATGCAAAAAGTTTTGAGAGTTTATATGCCAAACTTGAAAAGAAATTTCGAATATGTTTAGAGAATTGACATATTTCACACTGAAATGAAAGCGAATTTTTATTTCTGAACAAAGCAGGAAACAGTTATTTCAAATACAAAAAGTTTGGGTGTTCTAATCGGTAATGTCATAGCATGATAGAATAGTCATCATTTGAACATCCTATAGAAACTGAACTAGCACATACTGCATTTGAAGTTTATCAATTTGAAAAAGGTGTTTCAATTGGTAGAAGGTATAGTCCTGACTCCAACCTAACACTGTTAATCGTCTTCCCCGAGGCCACGTCCTAAAATACACAAAGATTAGTGTCAAATTTAACAACACAGTTCAGATCCCTATATAGTTTGCTCACAGATAACAGATTGCAATTCAAATTGGGTACATAAAGAACTGAATATAGTGTCGAACACGGTAATATATCAGTTGAGCCAATTCCTACCACCCTAAAACTTGTTCCATTAGCAATTTTTATAAAAAATACCCCTTTACATTCACTGTATTGGTGAAGCAGTGAACAACCTCTTGTCGTACGATCATATACTCCTAAATCCACAATCCACATTTGTCTTTTTGTTGAATAGCAGATAAACCAAGTAGGAAATTACCTTTTTGTGCAATTGAAGCATTACCGAGAAGCCATCTTTAGGAGGGCCTCCATCTGTTTTGTACTAAAAGGAATGTTGTTGGGTTGAGTGTTTGATGTATCATCCGACATTGCTAGATTTTCGTGATGAATTTATGGTCTGATGGGCTTCTTCTCTCCCGGTTTTCCATGAAACTCCCAACATTTCTCACGAAGATGGCCTAGTTTTTTTGTAGAATTCACACCATGGCCGTCCTCTCTTTCCTTGAAAATCAGTGACCCGGGTGGTGAGTGCCGAGGCGTTCTCACTTAGTTGAGCGAGCTGGGTTTCTTCCATCATCACCTTTTTTCGACTCTCCTCGCGGCGGACCTTAGAAAAAACTTCTCGAATGCTCAGCAAGGGCTTTGTGTCTAACACTCGTCCTCTTACGTCATCTAGATTTTCGTTCAGCCCCATTAGAAACTTGAATATTCTCTTCTGTTCAACAATCGTTTTGAACTTCTTTACATCTTCCGAACAACTCCATTTGTGTTCTTCGAAGACATCAAGCTGCTGCCAATTACGAATGAGAGAATTATAATATTGGGTAACAGACATCTCACTTTGTCGCAACTCATGGAGGGCAGATTCAATCTCGAAGATGATCAACATGTTATCCTGACTGGAGTAGAACTCTCGGACAGCTTCCCAAACTTCGTGCGCAGTCTCGTAGAACAAGAAGTTCTCTCAATCTTGGGAATCATGGAGTTTACTAGTCACGACATGACTATGCTATTTTTAATCTTCTAAGCTCGCGTA